GAGTGGCCCTCCTCTGGACCCTCTCCAGGTTCTCCAAGTCCCTCTTGAAGTGCGGCACCCAGAACTGGACACAGTACTCCAGCTGCGGCCTGACCAGTGCCGCATAGAGGGGGAGCATGACCTCTCTGGACCTGTTAGTGATGCCCCGTTGATGCATGATAGGATGCAGTTGGCTCTGCCTATTGCTTCATCGCATTGGCGACTCATATTCATCCTGGAGTCAGTCATGACTCCAAGATCCCTCTCTGCCTCTGTGCTGCCGAGAGGGGCAGCCCCTAACCTATAACCATAATGCTGGTTCCCTCTCCCCAGGTGCAGCACTCTGCACTTGTCCTTGTTGAACCGCATCCTGTTCAGATCCTATTGCCTGTGGGCAAAAGGGGCAGGTGTTGGGGGCGTCTGTAAAATGTGCCAGATATACACCCACTGCTGGGGAAGGGACTTTTAATACATCAGGGCAAAACACAGACCTAGTTCCCCACCAGGGAAGCTATGAGCCCCCTTTAATACTGGCAGCCACTAGTGATGTGTTACTGATTACTTGGGACAAATAATAATGAAAATGGGGACACGAGTGGAGGTCAAAAGGTAATAACTAGTGTGCCAAGAGGGGGGAAACACCAAACAGAGCACACCAGACAATGTTCACTGGCCCTCAAATGAGTCCAAGGAACCAGTGAACACTGCTTCAGAAACAGAAACGAGCAAGGGCAAGGAAAGTGGTCCTACAGTACCTTGGGACCCTCTGAGCCAGAGCCTCATTCCTGGTCAGATACCTGTCCAGCTTGGCCAGGGCCAGGAGGAGGTTGACCAGGAGGTCTCGGGACTTTGTGTGGCCACAAACAGGGAGTGCATAAATGAAGAGGGGAAAAGCGCAGCCAGAACCTCAGCAAGTGGTTGTAGAGGAGGTGCAGGGGCAAGAGGTTCTGGAGGCAATGCAGAGGCTGCAACCTGGCACATTCAAGGTAGGCATGTGCCAGGGTCTCCCTCTGTGGGTGAAAAGGGCAGATGTCAGGGGTGTTCATAAAGTGTGCCAGATATACACCCACTGCTGGAGACAGGATACTGGGAAAGAACCTGTAGTGTAACCCAATAAGGAAGTTGCTGTGTTCTTAGTCTGATTTGACTTTTGCAACTTGTGAAGTCATATTCTTAAACCGCCAGAGAGGGGAAAGTAGATAATAGAAGAAGCCATGTGGTAAGTTCCAGACCTCTACAGGGAAAAAGAGCCTGCACTTCTCACAGACAAACACTGGATGGATCAAAGTGACTGCAGAAAACACACACTGCAATATACTTTACTGTTTCTGTGGAAAGAAACATCTTTCCCTTCCCCCAGTCATGCCCCTGAAATGTTAGAATACACATTCAGCATAGAGTGCAAATAGATATGTTGGCTAGCCCCCAGACTCTGCATAAGTGGGTCACTAGTCTGCAAACCAGCAGTGCTCTTTTGAAAATGTGCTAATAGAGGAAGAAGTGTTGTGAACCATTCCTTTCATCCTGTCTGATATATTCAGAAAACAGGACAGGATGGATCTTTTTTTTTTTCTGTCGGATATAATATATGTTCACCGTGTTAGGTACATATACCATCAAGGAAATGCTCTGGGTCTTATTTAAAACCAGAAACACGAGGAGATTTACCACTAATTCATTCATACACCAGCTTTGAGAAAGTGTCTTTGTTTTTTTTCTCCCTCTCCACCCCAACATATTTCAGGAATAAATGATTTATTGAAACAAGCACTGTGCGTTAAAATGGCAAGATAGTGACTATAAAATAGAATTTACTACCTGAACACAATTATAAAGCATAACAGTCAACAATTAGCCCTAACCTGAAGTAAGAAGAATATTTATACCCTCACAGCTTTAATAAATTTAGGCAAACCTCCAGTATTGCTCTCTGAAACACAGGCAACGCACCCAACAAACAGTCTTCATTTGACATGCCCTCATGACCAGGGATCCTGGTTTTCTCTGATTTAAGAAACCCCAATTTTCAATCAAAAAAAAGTAACCCCAAATTCACATTTTTCCACTATTCAAATGAAACACCACAAAAAATATAAATATATATTTTATATATGTGTGTTTCTCTCTCAACCAGCAAATATCCTAAGGTTGTTTATGCCTAGTGAATCCAGGCAAATGCTTCCACTGCTCTCCAGCTCCCATCCTTATACCTGAATCACTGGTTATCAGGAGGGAGGAATGGCATTTTTCCATAGCAGGTTATGAGCAGGGATCCTGGTTTTCTCAGATTTAAAGAAATCCCCAATTTTTGGTTAAAAAAGAGTAAGCCCAAATCCACATTTTTCCTTCATTAAAATGAAACACTACTATATAAGGAAAAATGTGGATTAGGGGTTACTTTTTTTTTTTAACCAAAAATTGGGGATTTCAGTAGCTGCTGATTTTCTGTTCTGCCCTATTCATCCAGTACTCTTTTTAGAGGGCTAGGAGACAGTATTTTTTTTTTCCACTGAGTGAACTGAATATGCTCATACATTCAGTATAAATGTTAAAACTATTCTGAAGCATCTGACCTTTAGGGCAAGCTGCAAATCACATCTACTATTCTGCCTGGCTTTTGGAAGATGGTTAGTGAGGAGGATTCTCATTTTAAACTACCAGGTTTTACTGTTTGGGAAAATATACATTATAGTAATTGTATTTTTAAGTGTTGTCAAAGGCACACAGAACTAGGGGAAGTGCTCTTTGATCAATTTTATATACGTTAAAATAAGTTATATATTTAAAAAGCAACAACAAATTATAACCTGCAGGATTGAGTGAAATATTCTGCAAGGACTAGGGACCCAGGAGTTAAGCCTTATCAATCAGGCTTGAATCAAACATGAGGCAAAAGTCCAAGCTAAAGTTGAAGAATGATGCACTAAAAAGCCATTGATACAGATTATTCCTTCTTAGTGTTGCTTTGTGTTTGTTTGCTAACCCAGATTTTATAAACAATAAAATATTCGCCCAGCATGGAATCCTCCATTTATACTCACTCTCAAAAACCAATTTAGGGGCTATCTTAAACCTGAAACTGCCACAAAGGGCATCTTTTTAGACAGTGATTTGCAGTACAATTTAGAGCAGACTTTGGTATGCTGGCAGTTGCACTGAAGGCTAGACCTGGTCTAGAAAGTCTCAGGAATAGGCAGTAAAAATGAAATAATAATTTCATGGCCCCAGCCAGGGCCACTTTTTGGAAGGATGTTATTTACTTTAGAGCTTTGTCTAACTATAGGGAACCCATTTTGCAAAAGCATCACCAAACACCTGAGTGTTATTCTATGGCCCATGTTACATAGGACATTCAAGCAGATTATCATAATTGCACCTTCTCACTTAAAATCTATAACTCTTTAAGCACATTTATTTTATAGTAACTATCTAAGGCCTCCAGAGAGCTATCTGCTATTGTTCAAGGACATAGATTATATGCCATAATGTATTTTATATTCTATATTATATAGTTATATACTCAATTGTGTGTTAATTGGAACATACACTTGAAACTTACTAAGACTTGGTGTGCTAAGTCTACAAAAACATAGGATTGATGCCGCTCTAAAACTTAGCCACCTTTAGAAATAAACCAAGAAAAGGCTACTAAGCATCTCTGGTACCTTCTTTGTCATCATGACGTATGATTGCATCCTGTATAGTGTCAGCAAGGTTGAAATGGACTCGGTGATTTTTTCCATGTTTCAGCTTTTTTGCATATCCATCCTGCTTTTGCAAAGCTTTTTCTCGTTCATAATATGCCTTTATTTGATCACAGCGCATCCGCTTCACCAGCCGCTGACGTTGGCCCAAAGGGAGGGACTCCAGCAAGCACTGGTCAATTTCCATGTCATGTGATCGAAAAACATTACATAGCTGGAAACAGCCTAAACAAAATGAAATATAAACAAACAAATTTAGGCTATGTAACAATATGCTTTCAAATGTTCTATGAAATACCTGCCAAACTTCTTGTAGCTCCTATTTAAATATGTCAAAGTACTTATTATGTTTGTTTAACTTAGGTGGTGAATGCCAGTTGGAAAGTGAATATATTATTATCATGTGGTTTACACAAACAACATGGAATGCCATGTTTTCATGGAATGCCATGAAAGCACCAATTAATTTTTTAAAATACTAACTTCAATTCATATATACAAAGGAGACCATAAAGAGGTCAGAGAGTTTAAACATATGAAATGGATAAGGCACGTAAATAATTCACTGTAATACAAGTAGTTAACTTTTGCCGAGGAACTAGACAATATGTACAGTATAGACCAAGTCTGCTGTTTGTGCCTCCATTGTATTCTTTTACATTTTGCTTCGGATAAGCAAATTCCTATTACTCAGTGAGAAGAAAAATCTTCATATCATAGTTGTAATGAGTTCATTAGCACACTATGGGTACTCAGGCAACTATCTTTACAAATTCACAACCACACAATTTTTTTTCACGTTTATTTAGCAGGCCAAGTTGAATCTTTTAATGAAAAAGTCAGATGTCAAGAACTTAAGACAACACAAACTATAAACTCTATCTCAATTACTCTTAGCCTTATTTAACATCATTCATAGTATGTACCCTGAAGTCAGACTCCTTCCTCTAGTCCATGTTAAATTTTGCCTTTTTGCCTATATTGGTGTGATGGCAAATTATTTTTCATAATGTATTTGTGACTTGCTGGTTGGATCTCATAGAGATTCATGGGTTGTGGACACTGTTAGCTGGTAAAGCTAAGTAGTTTAGCTCTACAAGTACAGGCTCTTGGTTCTGTCCTTTAAGCCCAAATTCAATTACCACTGGTGCTAACCAACTCAGGGATTTTATGTTGTTGTACCATCTGCAGAGGCATAGCAAGCTCACTAACTGCCTGGAGTGGGTTGATAGGTGGGTGGGTGGGGGGCCACAATTATGCTAACCACAGTAGACTGGGCAGGGGGCATGTGTGGGTGAGGTAAAGGGAAGTGAATGATTTAGAAGTGAATAGAACAGGCCAGCAAACAATGGCGTTTGAATGGGAGTTCGAGTGGAGAGTTTGTTGAAGAGTTTACCCAGATAATTTCCTTCTCACCCTTCCTTCACTGAAATCTTGCTTGAAAGCAGGTGAAGAAAGAGAAGGATTCCCTCCCCACCCAAAAAAAAATACAGTAGCAGAAAAGAAAGGAGCTAGCACTATAATCCACATGACGGATGGAATATGCCAAAGCCCCTGCCACTGCAAGCCTTTCCTCTGCTTGCACCTGTGGGAGCTCTGTCCAGAAATGGCATGTGTGAGAAGGCAAAACTCAAGCCCATGAGCAGGGTGGGTCAGTTATCTGGAGTCCGTCAGGAAGACAGTAACAGCACAAGCCAAGACTGCAGCAGCGTAAATACAGGATTGAACCTT